CGGTGGCCCACAGCGAAGGCGAGCCCCCGTCCCGCGCTGTCACCACCACCTTGTAGTTAGATATGCCCTCGCGGTCCAGGGCGCTGTCCAGCACCAAAGAATAGTAATTCTTGAAGGTGGACACCAGCTTGAATGGGACGTCGGGCATCAGGGTGCAGGTGACCTGTCCGTTGACACCTGAGTCGCGGTCTGACACGCTGATCAGGGCAATTACGCTGCCAAGTGGAGTGTCTTCTAATACAGACAATGATAGTGACTTGATAACCAACTCAGGTACATTATCATTGATGTCCACAATTTCCACTAGAACCGCACAGTGATCTGCCAGTGGGGGATTTCCTTTATCCGTCGCTTCCACCTGCATTTCGTATGACTTAGTTTCCTCAAAATCTATGCTACCCTTTACACTGATGTGTCCACTGACCGGATCTATGTGGAATTTCGACAGAATATCTGCAGACATATCTGTATTGAAAGAATATACAATGTCCTTATTTACTCCTTCATCCAAATCAGAGGCGTTAACGATAACAGCTATGGTACCGTTTGGTGCATTTTCGAACAATCTGACTTTATAGACCGTTCTCTCAAACGCTGGGGCGTTGTCATTTACATCTAGAACGGTGATCTCCAGTTGAGTCGTGCCAGTGAGCTCTGGTTTCCCACTGTCAACAGCCTTTATGAGTAAATGATGCTTAGGAACGTCCTCCCGATTTAAAAGTTTTTTCAACACAAGTCCAAGGGATTTAATTTCCTCATCATTTCTTTTAACTTCCAAGGTAAAATATTCGCTGGAATCAAGGCTGTAAGTCAACAATGAATTTGTTCCAATATCGGCATCTGATGCGCCCTCTAGCGAAAACCGAGAGCCAGGCTGTCGGGATTCATAGATAAACAGATTTTTTACTGCCATTGGAAAAAAATTTTACAGTGTCCGGACATTGACGGGGTTCCTTTGTCAGATGCAATGACCTGAATCTCATAGGTCTTCGTTTCTTCATAATCTAATTTTCCCTTAGTTCTGATTTCACCTGAGTTGGGATCTATTTTGAACGTAGTCTGTACAGTGGAAGACACACCACTACTGAGTGAATACACAATTTCACTGTTTGACCCTTCATCTGCATCAGAAGCATTTAATTTAACCACTAAGGTTCCATTCGCAGCGTTCTCTAACAATTGTACTTTATAAATTGATTGGGCAAAAGTAGGTTCGTTGTCATTCACATCTAATACCTTAATAAGTATTTGAATGGTGCCTGTGAGCTCAGGTTTGCCACCATCTGTAGCCACCAGTGACAAATTAACCTGAGAAGTTTCCTCTCTGTCCAGAGATTTCCCCAGCACAAGAGACAAAGATTGGCTTAGTTCATCATTTGTCAGTACGTCTAGAAAGAAAAACTCACTGGCACTGAGCTTGTAGGAGAGAAGAGCGTTTACTCCGATATCTGCATCATATGCTCCCTCTAGAGGAAACCGCGAGTCAAGCAGCCTCGATTCGGGAAACCGGATAGTCTTTACTGTCATTGGAAATACCGGGGGGTTGTCGTTAATGTCCTTCACCTCCACCTCCACATGGAAAACTTGCAGCGGCCTGTCCACGATCACCTCCAGGTGGATGCTGCACTCCGCGCTCCGCCCGCACAGCTCCTCCCGGTCGATCCGAGAATTCACAAACAAAACGCCATTCTGCAGATTTACCTCCAGAAGGTCCTCTCTGCCTTTGGACGCCACCCGGAACCGGCGCGGCACCAGCTCCGCCAGCTCCAGCCCCAGGTCCTGCGCGATGCGGCCCACGAAGGTGCCGTGTTTGGCCTCCTCGGGGACCGAATAGTGGATCTGGCCGCTCCCTGCCTCCCAGGCTGCGAGGAGCAGAAGCGAGAGCAGCAGGCACTGGGCTCCAGGATCTTCTTGCCAGGAAAACACCATCGCAAGCCTTTTCCAAACACCAGGTCGCTCTTACATCTATCCAGAATCTAGAGAACTATTTGAGTTCCTTATTCTTCGTTTCTGAAACTCCTCGCGTTATCATATTTCAGAGATGATGAAGAAATGAGTCTGAATACGTAATGCACGCTGTATTTCTTTTGTGCAGAAAGACCTTGTGGTGGACAGCGACATCATGTGGCTAAATGTGTAAGTATTAAATACATGTACTTATCTTTTCCTTATAGGTCGTTTGAACTTTCCCAAAATTTCTATTTTCAGTTGTAACTCCTTCGAAAACTCCTCGAAGTCTTTATTTTTTCTGAAAATATATCCTGAGAAATTTATGCTAATTTCATCACTTTCAGTTGTGCCAATTCGTGATATTTGGTACAGTAAAAGATTAATTGTGATTACTGTTATAACAGTGTACATTTATTGTAAATGTTTTTCAAGTGACAGGCACTTTTCTATTTGCCCTGATGAAATTACACCATTAAATTCTCACAACAACCCTCGCAGATAGATAATAATACGACTCACTTTTTACAGAGGTTAGGAGATGTTTGGGTGAGATCTCAGTCTGATTCAAGATGCCGTGCCATTAATCAATTGGCCTCCCAGGCTACATTTTACAGAAAAATTAGAGTCTTTGATATATTCGACCATTAAAACATCAAGACATTGAAGTATTTGTAAAATGTGTGCATACATATACCAACATATATATTTACTTTTATATTATGGCCATTGTTAATTTACAAAATATGTTCATTTATGTTTATTAATTTTTGTAATGCCTATAAATCATTCTTGTGTCCTTCATTCAAAGACTTATCCTCGTTAACTGTCTTAACTATTATTTATATGAAGATGTAAAAAGTCAGTCTTTTACAGTGAAGTTCTTTTGGAAGTTTGTTTCCTTTTGCAGGACAACACTGTTTCATTTGAATATTTGTTACATTCACATCGCACTGAGTAAGAATATATTAATCTTTAAAATTTCCACAGCAATTATGCATTTCAACTTAGCTGTATGTCATAAAATGTTCATAATATTAAATAATTGTGTTTTTTATTATCTCCACTCTGGACGAATTTCTGGGTTCCAGTTTATTAAAAAGTTGTTACTTGATAGAACTGGTGATTTATCCAATCAGTGAAGAGAGACAGCTAACTTTGGAACATGAGTCACTACTCAGACATGAATCACTACTCAACATATATAAGATCAGGCAATTAGCTTTTTCTAAAGATCTCTGAATACAGTGAAAGACATGACTTCTCTGAGCATTTGGAAGTTGAGCAGAGAAAATTCATGGAAAGAGGTCAAAGTTAGGGAAGTAAGAGAATGTCCAAAGTTTTGCTTATACCCAGACCGTTTTTAAATGAAATCAAACACATGACTTAAGTATTAAAAGCAAAGTTTTAATATCATTTTTTGTTTCCTATGTACTTACTAAATGGAAGTCAGGCTTGCAACTTACTCATATTTTATCATCTATATTTAGAATAGAATAAATTATCAATTAATGTTTTATGGAATGAATAAGTGAATATTATAAAATAACTTTTTCAAGTATGATAAGAAAAGAGTTAAGTTACATTAATATTTGTTAAAATCAAACTTACATAATTTCTAATTGATTCTATTGTGCTAGCTCATGAAGAAGTAAACATTTAAGAATTATTTCTGAAAGGCATTGAGTTGAGGAAGTAATTATAGATATTAATATGCCAGTTAGTACTTTGATGAATCTTGAAAGGTGGTAGCTAATTTGAAAATGGTAGACAAAATTAAAAATTTTAAACATCATGGACTTCATATTAATGAGATGCCTTTCACAACTGACTGTAATATTACACATTTAGGACTTATACTTTTGCAAAATGGAATACCACGTGGAAATTGATAACAGAATAGACTCCATTCTGATTATGAGGAGACAAAGCTAATACTAAAGGAACTATGAGTTGAAAAGATTGAGCCAATGTGTGGATAAGGTATCAGTGAATAGTTTCTATCACCTAGATAACTCCTTGGGCAACTTAATCAATGAAAAATGTAAATAAGAATAAGAAACCAATAATAACTTATAGAGCAATAGACTATGACTCCTGGGGATCTGAGCACATCTGGACACAATCCTAAAATCTTGTCACTCATCTAACGATAACAGCTATGGTACCATTTGGTGCATTTTCGAACAATCTGACTTTATAGACCGTTCTCTCAAACGCTGGGGCGTTGTCATTTACATCTAGAAATATACACATCTAGGGTAGTAAAATAGTCATTCACATCTAGGGTAGTAAAATAGTGACCAGACTTCCAGTAGGACAGATTCCACCTGACCATTCATGTATTCTGCACACAGCCTCAAGGAGGTGGTGAGTAGCTATATTCCAGGTAGGATGACTCCTCCCAAGAAAGAGATTCTTCCTCATTTGTTCAAGCCATTTGTTTTTGTTTTGTTTTTCTGTAAAGCCTCAGATGAACTTTTCTGATTCCCAGGAAATATATACTCTCTGCATTTTGAGACTTAACTCTGAGGAGATAATAAGCTTCCTCTAGGAACAGATTATCCTAAAATGGATTTCGAGATTTCCTCACCAAACTCCTCAACTCCTTTAAAAGCAGATCAGATGGAAATAAATATTCTGGCTTAACTGTGAAATGACTGAGACTAAGATTACTTAGCAGAAGTTATTTCTATGAATTATCAATATGCACATATATGTGGGGGAAAAACAACAAATAACTAAGAACCAAATAGTAGAAGACAGTTTTAGACAGTTATTTCACCCCAACACATCATCCTCTGATTGAAAAGAATTCAAAAAATCCTTTCCAAGTGTAACATTTACTTGTCAAGTTCAGTGTTTTAATTCCCCAACATCGAAGTTTCAAATGAAAATGTAGTCATCCAATTCCAGGACTTACCTTTTGGAAAAACCCAAATTCCAATAGAAATAGGGACACTGCCAAGTAAAACTGAGTGAGTTCACAATGCTGAAAAATGTAATCTCGGGCACAGAGTGAGGTGTCGGAGGAAGGTAGCCAATCTTTTCCGAGTGGAAGCCTATGTACATCAGCCTACTGATTTTAATACTGGAAAGATGACTGTTCAACCACTAACATAAAGACTGGGTTAGAGTACTCTCTACTTGTGTGAAGAAAAACTCCCACCACCTGGCCAACTCCAAAGTGATTTTTAAATGTCCAGATTTTTGAATTAAGCAAAATTGTAAGCGGCTCTTTTCTCAGTGAACTCTCTATTTTGCCTGATAACTCAAAGATTTTGGCAGTGTGGAATCTTTATCACAACTAACAGCTTATTTTACTTATAAAAGACACACCTAAGATTAGCAACTATTCCTAAATGCTATTGTGTGTTGTAATGACCTGTGATAGATATTTTTGGAGGTCCTGGCATTAAAGGATCCATTCAAGCTGCTTTCAAATACAAGGAAAAGAAAATATAACTTATTAACTGTTGCATAAACGGATAAAGAAAATACAATCTTGATCCACAGAACAATCTAGGGAATGTTCAGAATATATAATATACTCTTATTCCAGACATATTCTGACAAAATGAATAGAAAGTGTAAATTGGAAATAGGTATTATATATTCAAATTCTTTAAATTTTTCCAGTTGTGACATTAAAATTTTTTTAAGGGAAATAGTATTTACCAATAATGTTAAATTTTCAAATTTTGCTGAAATTTTTTCAATTCTTCAAAGTTCTATTACTCGTAGACAAATTTAATTATGAAAAAGCCAAAATGTAAAGATAAGAAAGACATGTAAGTAAATTGTTCAAAATGCAAGAAAATGATATCTAATTCATACGAAATATTGCATGGTAGAATGATATAAAATAAAGGCAAAGCTACGACTCTAAATAATTAACAGACATCATTAAAAAAATAAGGAAATAGAACGATTCTAGATCTGGCAAGAAAAATTAAAAGGCTCACCTTTCCAGAGTATTCTGCTTCTGAGAGCTGTTGTCTTTCTTCTGCGGAGTCTGGACCCTGCGGTAAGCTGGGGCTGAAGGCCATGAGGTCGGTCTTGGGCGGCCCCTCCCCAGAGCACACTCTCTGCCGCCTCTGCTGCGAGTACGACCAGCTCCCCACCGCGCTGGAGCACACCAGCGTGGCCTTCCCAGGTCCGCACGCGACCTCGGTGGGGGGCGCCGAGCACCTCAGCGCCGTGTACAGCAGCAGCGTCAGCACCAACAGGCTGGACACGGCGCACATGGCGATGATCAGATACACGTTGACATCTACCAGAGTAGCCTGCGGGCCCGGGGTGCCCTCCAACGCCCGAGAGGAGGCTTTCTGCGCCTGGCCGCTCTCCACCAGCGACACCAGCACGGTGGCCGTGGCCGTCAGCGCCGGCTCGCCGTGGTCCTTCACCAGCACCAGCAGGCGCTGAAGCGGAGCGTCCGCCTCGTCCAGGGCGCGCGTCGTGCTGATCTCGCCCGTGTACAGCCCCACGCGGAACGGGCTGCGCGCACCGCCCGCCGCCGGCTGCAGCTCGTACGACAGCCACGCGTTGTAGCCCGAGTCGGCGTCCACCGCGCGCACCTTCGTCACCACGTGGCCCGCGCCCACCGACCGCGGCACCAGCTCGCTCACCGCCCCGCCAGAGCCTCCAGCCCGAGACGCCAGCAGCGCGGGCACATTGTCGTTCTCGTCCAGCACGAACACCTGCAGAGTCACGTTGCTGCCCAGAGGCGGCACGCCAGCGTCGCGCGCGCTCACCTGGAACTGCAGCAGCTCCAGCTCCTCGTGGTCCAGCGGCTGCAGCGCGTACACCTTGCCGCTCTCCGCGTGCACCGACACGTAGCTCGACAGCGCACGCTCGCCCACCCGCCGCTCCACCAGCGAGTAGGACACCAGCGCGTTCTCCTGCGCGTCCGCGTCCCGCGCCGACACCGTGAAGATGTGGCAGCCGGGCGGGTTGTTCTCCTTCACGAACACCGTGTACTCGGGCTGCGCGAACGCCGGCGCGTTGTCGTTCACGTCGGCCACCTCCACGGACACGCTGGCCTTGGCCCACAGCG